AGAGAAATGACAGAATACATCTACTAATTCTTTCTCTCAAACTACTAAGTTTCTTTCTCTCCCTTCCATCATATATTTTTACTATTTTCTGTTATAGTCATCCTCAAACCATCAGTGGTATCAGAGCTTTGTCCGATCTATTTTCTGGGCATGATTTCTTCTAAACATTATGTGTGCTGATGTCAATCGCTCTACTCTTTCTCTTCCAATTTTCAGTGGAGAAAACTATGACTTCTGGTCCATCAAAATGAAGACCTATTTTCGGTCACAAAGTCTATGGAAAATTGTTGAGKAAGGGTTCTGCATTGCTGAAGATACTTCCACTCTTTCAGCAAATCAAAAGAAGATCTATGAAGAGAATCAACAAAAGAATTGTCAAGCACTATTCTGCTTGCAGCAAGCAATGGCTGAGGAGATATTTCCTCGAATCATGGGCGCATCAACTGCAAAAGAAGCATGGGGCACACTGCAGGAGGAGTTTCAAGGAACTGTCAAGGCATGCACTGTTAAATTGCAGAAGTTTAGAAGGGATTTTGAAAATATTAAGATGAAGGATAATGAGACTACAAAAGATTATTATCCTAGAATAAAAGAAATAGTAATTCAAATGAGAGCCTATGGGGAGACTATTTCTGACAAGAAAATAGTCGAAAAAATTCTAATCTCTTGTACAGAGAGATATGATGCAATATTTCGGTGATAAAAGAAACAAAGGATCTAGAAACACTATCACCAACTGAATTAATGGGCTCTCTCGAGACATATGAAAATAGGCGTGATAGGCATAATGAAAATTCGGTTGAGGCTGCCTTTCAGTCTAAAGTTAATCTGCGGTCTCATAAACCAATAGTTGATGGGAGAAAGTCACAAGGAAAACCAAAAGAAAATAATGACAAGTATTCTTCATGTGGTATTTGTAAGAAGAGAAACCACCTGGAGAAAGATTGCTGGTTTAAAGGAAAACCACAATGCCAAAATTGTAAAAAATTCGGCAATGTTGAAAAATCTTGTAGATTGAAGAAAACCCATCAAGCTAATTTTTCAAAAAAGAAAAATGAGGAAAATAATCTCTTTTATGCTTGTCATTCTGCAATAGAAGAAAAAAATGATACTTGGTAYCTTGACAGTGGGTGCAGTAACCACATGACTAAAAATGAAAGCATCTTTCATAGCCTTGATAAAATCAAGTCAAAAGTCAAAATTGGTAATGGTGACTTCATGGAAGCAACTGGCAAAGGCACCATTATACTTTTGGTTCCCAATATTGATCAAAATCTACTCAGTGTGGGCCAAATGATTGAAAAATGTTACTCTTTACATTTTGAGGGAAACTCTTGCACAATCTATGACAAGTAGGACAACTCCCTTAAAATTGCAAAAACAAAAATGACAGAAAATAGATGTTTTCCCATTCAATGGAGAGATGGAAGTTATATAGCAATGCAAGCACAAGTGGACGAGTCGTGGCTATGGCATAGAAGATTTGGACACTTTAATTTCCATGGATTAAGGATTCTTTAGCAGAAGAACATGGTGCGTGACGTCCTAGCTATAAAGGAGTTCAACGATGTCTGTGAAGGGTGTATGCTCGGAAAACAACATCGACAACCCTTCCCATCCGACAAAGCTTGGAGAGCCAAAGAGCCATTGTAGTTAATTCATACAGATGTTTGTGGTCCGATGCGTATTCCATCAAAGAATCAAAATAGGTATTTCATCCTCTTCATTGATGATTATATTAGAATGACATGGGTTTATTTCTTGCGAGAAAAATCGTAGGTTTTTGATATTTTAAAAAAAATTCAAAGCCCGTGTTGAGAAGCAAAGTGATCACAACATCAAGACCATAAGAAGTGATAGAGGCAAAGAATACACTTCTAATGAATTCAACAAGTTCTGTGAAGATGAAGGCATGGAGCATCAACTTACAGTTGGGTACTCTCCAGAACAAAATGGAGTATCTGAAAGAAAAAATAGAATAGTTATGGAGACTGCAAGAGCCATGCTCATGGAAAAGGGTCTTCCCAAAATTTTCTGGGCAGAGGTAGTAAGCAATGTTGTCTATTTGCTCAATAGATGTTCTACCAAAGTTGTGCAAGATAGGACACCAATTGAAGCTTGGAGTGGGCAAAACCATCAGCAAAGCATCTCAGAGTTTTCGGATGCATATGCTACACCCATGTCCCACAGGAGAAAAGAGGCAAACTGGATGAGAAGACTGAGAAAGGAATYTTCTTAGGCTATAGCACTCAATCAAAAGGCTATCGAATCTATAGCTTAAGGAAAGAAAACTCATAATCAGTCGAGACATAAGCTTTGACGAGGATGCTGCATACAATTGGGAGACAAAATAAGTTGAAAGGAAGACTATCAACTTGCCCCTATTACTAAGTTAAGGAATTGAAGAAGGTCATGATCAAACCAGTTCGCCAACACAATCAGAACCAGAACAAGCTTCACAGTCTACTCCGGACTCACTACCAAGGCGAACTAAATCCTTAACAGAAATATATGAAACATGCAACTTGATGATCATAGAACCAGAAAGCTTTGAAGAAGCCTTTAAGGAAGAAAAATGGAGAAAAGCTATGAATGAAGAGATAAAATTGATCGAAAAAAATGAGACTTGGGAGCTTGTGGATCATCCACAAGACAAAGACACTATTGGAGTTAAGTGGGTCTACAAGACAAAGCTTAACTCAGATGGCTCAATCCAGAAGCTTAAAGCAAGGCTAGTTGCCAAAGGATAYTCACAACRATAYGGTATCGAMTACAATGAGACATTTGCTCCAGTTGCTCGCCTTGACACAATCAGGGCATTGATAGTACTAACTACACAGAAGAAATGAAAAACTTTTCAACTAGATGTGAAATCAGCATTCCTCAATGGCTATCTTAAGGAGGAAATCTATGTAGAGCAGCCTCAAGGGTTCGTGGTGCAAGGACAAGAAGACAAAGTTCTCAGATTAAAGAAGGCATTTATATGGCTTAAAACAAGCTCCACGAGCTTGGTACAGCAGAATTGACAATTATTTCTTGGAGCAAGGATTCAGGAGGAGTTATAGTGAGCCAACACTACATCAAGACTCAAGGTACAAATGACACTCTCATTGTTTCTTTATATGTCGATGATCTCATTTATACAGGAAATAATGAGAAGATGGTCAAGAAGTTTAAAGAAGACATGATGAAGACTTTTGATATGACTGATTTGGGCCTAATGCTTACTTTCTTGGAATTGAAATAATACAAGAAGAAGAAGGGACCTTCATCTCACAAAAGAAGTATACATAAACTCTTTTGAAGAAATTCAAAATGGAGGGATGCAAAACAGTCTCCACCCCATTAGACAACACTAAAGCATTCAAAAAGGAAGATGGCTCACCAAAGGCAAATGAATCACAATTTCGGAGTATGATTGGAAGTCTCCTCTATTTAACTACTACAAGACCAGACATCATGTATGCAGTTAGTGTACTTTCAAGATTCATGCAGAATCCAAGTCAAGTCCACCATGGAGCAGGTAAAAGAATACTAAGGTATTTGCAAGGTACAAAGAGCTATGGAATTTGGTACAGAGTCACACATGACTCTAAGCTCATTGGCTACACAGACAGTGACTGGGCAAGTTCGGTAGATGACATGAAAAGTAGATCTGGTTATGCTTTCACAATTGGATCAGGGATATTTTTTTGGGCTTCAAAGAAGCAAGCAGCAGTTGGCCAATCATCAGCTGAAGCAGAATATATTGCAGCCACAATAACAACGAGCCAAGCTATATGGCTCAAAAGGATATTTGATGACATGGGAGAACCACAAGTTGGTGCTACTGAAATCTACTGCGATAGCAAATCAGATATTGCAATGGCAAAGAATCCCATATTTCACAACAGAATCAAACATATTGGCATCAAGTATCACTTTATTAGAGAAGCTGAAGGAAACAAAGAAATAGAACTCAAACATTGCAAAACTGAAGAACAGTTAGCTGACATATTGACAAAGGCACTACCAAAAGACAAGTTCAAATTATTACAAGACATGATTGGAGTTGCTGAAATGTGCACCAAGAAGGAATATTAAACGTTGCTACACATTTTCAGAAGTGATTGAATCAGGTCTCTCGAAGAAATGACAAAATATTTCCCTTCTGTATCTTGAAGAAATGACAAAATAGTTCCCTTTCAACCGACTCCATCTTTTATAAACCATCACTCTCAGCTGTCGTGGCACACTAGAATTAATTCATACGAAATACTCTTCTTCTGAGACTTTTCATATCTTGGGCAGGTAGAATCCTATGTAGACCACGCTTGTGATTACTCCAATAGAGAGACCATGTCCATGTTACACGTGGCAAGCGTGGGTTACTTACCACTGAAGAAATCAAGATGTTATTCAAAAATCTGTGTAGAAGGTTGACCCGTAATTAGTTTCCAACATGAACCGGCATTTTCCAACTGAGTTGGACAACGACTAACTATCGGCCGGGTATGACTTTAGATCTCCACACAATCTGCCACACTTGAGGGAATTCATTTCCCCTCTTTCAGTACTGATTATGTGTGTGCCCATTCCTCTCGCCCTCTTTCATGGTTCTTCAATGCATGGAGCCTGCAAAAAGAAAACGATTGAATAAAACTCCACACACTCGATCAAGTCTGAAAAATTCATCTTCAGCCAAGTCAAATGTTCGAGAAGGAGATGAAAATTGAAATTCAATATAAATTTTTTGTGCACCACTCCATTCAATAGTCAATCAGTTACTCTCAGCTTGAGAATTCTATGAAATCAGAAGGACCTTAAGTGTAGATTGTGATTGAGAAGAGGAAATTAAGACACTTTGCAGATTTTCTCCTCATGGAAGTCTGGCCTCCAAATTTGAAGATGTAAGTAGATATCCATATCCTGGCTTCTGAATAGATTTTGAATAAAGATTTACCACGGTGAAGTCAACCTCTTAAAGTCTCTCTAAATAACTCTTTAAAAGGCGGACTCACATGGAGTACAAGCAAGAATTGCAAAATCCCTTGATGGACCAAGCAATGGAGAAGGCAAAGGAAGAGAAAATGGAGGAGTTGAGAGCACAGGTGCGCATCAGAAACTACATGAATGGTTATGCAGACTCAATGGCGTTGAAATGTGCTGTGGAGAATGGAATTGCAGACATCATCCAGAAACACGCCAAGCCCATAGCTCTCTCCGAGCTAGCGAAGGCTCTTCCCTTGCCTACTGTTAGCACAGAGCACCTGGAGAGGCTGATGAAGTACTGGGTCCAATTGGGACTCTTCACGCATGAGAAGGATGGCTCGCACGGGCTGACTCGGTGCTCTAAGTACTTGCTACGAGAAGAGAATACTACAATGGCCGCCATTATTCTTGGGCTAGTAACAGAGTGGACCATAGGGCCATGGCACTGTTTGGCTAGAAGCTTGGAAGGAGGTCCGACGGCATTCCGAAGATATCATGGGAGGGATATGTGGGATTATGTGGCTGGTCACCCGGAGGCGAGTCGACTGTTCAACGAGTCTATGGCAGGCGATACAAGACTGTTGTTGCCTGTGCTGATGCAAGAATGTGGGTCATGGTTGTTTGAAGGGATTTCGTCGTTGGTGGACGTGGGAGGAGGGAATGGGACGGCCATGGTGGAGATAGCAAAGAAGTTTCCGGGAATTAAGTGCACTGTGTTTGATCTCCCACACGTGATAAGGAACACGAACTCGAGTGAGTCAACTGGGGTGGAATGGGTTGAAGGGGACATGTTTGAATCAATACCTCCAGCAGATGCAGTTTTGCTCAGGTACAATTTGGCTTTTATATTTATATCTTCAAGTTGTTTTCGCAATTTTATACGTACATTAATTTTTCTTCAGATAGCTAGGGTCCTTAATTAATTTCCAAAACTCACATTTACTGGGGTCTAAAGTTTTTTGGTTGGACGAGTTGACTCAGAATATATATATATATATATATACTCCTTCAATTGAAATTGATGGTGACATTTAACCCTTCCCAAGCAGCCCAAGCCTCTGCAACGTTGATATTGGTATCCCCAATGCCATACACTTTGAAATAAAAAATTGTACCTCAATCATCTCTGGCAATACAGGCTATAGCGCAGCTTCCCTCCGAATTACATGATGCATCAAAGTTCTGGTACTAACATCTTTGTGAGCTAACTTCACAAAGAAGATTGGCTTTCCATCTTCTTTGTGAAGAGGGCTTCTTCTTCAACACAAGGTTACCTCCATTCTCAGTGAAAGGACAAAAAACCTCTGGAATTTCCATTTGCTGCAACGCAAGTTGCCCCCTATATTGTCTTACCATATTTAAGGTGGAAGAGAAGTACGGTCCAAATTAATAGGCCTGAATATGAAGATTATTAGAGTTCTTGCAGAAGTAGAGCTAAAACTCAGTTGATAAGTGAAGAAAGGAGAGATCTCAGAATTAGGGGTGTCCACGGTTCGGTTAACCGAAATATGAGCATATTTTAAAAACTGAATTGGTGGTATAGGTTTTTTCATTGGTTAACTGGAGTGATGAGGGCTGCTTGGGAATCCTTCAACGGTGCAGAGAGGCAATTCCCAAAGAGCGAGGGAAAGTAATCATCATCGACATAGTAATGGATATTGAGCAGGATCCTGAGTTAATCCGGGCAAAGTTGATGACAGATATTGACATGATGGTATACCTTACGGGGAAAGAGAGGACTAAAAAAGAATGGGAAAAACTCGTTCAGGCTGCTGGCTATACCAAATATCAAACAACTCCCATCTTTCCTTTGCAGTCAGTCATTGTGGCCTATCCATAGCAAAGCTTTCATGCACCAATCATTAAATTAAGCATATAAGCACAAGTACTATAACTTCAATGAATAAGTTTCCCTTTTACTACCGTCATGGTGTGCGCATTGTCTTCTATGATTATCATAAAGGATAAATAAATAAAATAATAAATGCTAGATACCACTCTAGTTATGTTCAATTATCTTTCATTTCTTTTATCTTAATTAATGTGATTAATTGTGACTTTGTGAATAAATTATTGGGCAAATTTCTTAAACTGGTTTAGCTAATTGATTAACCCATTTTTACTATTATTATATTGTCTTAAAATACCGTCACTATTTTTGATAATTGTCTAAAATCTCCTTTACTATTAATTTTCTATCACGCTCTTTTACATATGACATCACGTGGCTGGTATATTTTCGAAAATTCCTAAAACATTCTTTGCAACTTGATGGTCAGTCCGATGATCTAACAGTGATGGATCAGAGACATCACGAGGCCCAGGCATTATCCAGATTGGCAGTAAAGGCCCCAAACCCCCTTCTTCGAAGATGGCATTACGATAGGAATCATCAGAGGTTGCATGAACAAAGTCAACCACCGCAGCTTGCTCTCAGTGATTACCTTGACTGCGATAATGTGTGTAGCTGATAACCTATTCTTTCGAGGCCAGATTCTTCCTTTACGACTAATCCAATAGTGGATTGGTCGGATTTCGTCCAGACACCAGAAGATTAGTAGTTGTGGTTCGAGGTTAGAGTCCTTGGAGCATAGTGCATGTGGTTTCACTAGTGTGAACAGAAGGATTAGTTTGAAAAGAATACAAATACAAATATATATAATACAAATACATACAAAATAATACAAAATACAAGATTTTGCATTCTGCATATTTGTATTTATACTCATCCAAACTAAGCTGGAGGAGTAGCTGTAGAAATCATAATTTGTTGGGCGGCAGCTCAGTCACCGCCAGCATATACAAGCCAAGGGTGTAGAGCTATTTTTCATACTCACCCAAATTCTAACAAACTGAGTGCGTGGCAAAGCCAAGTGACAAATCAAATTCCATAATGAATTCCAGAATGTAGTCTGAAGACGGGTCTGGATGTAGTAGGCACGTTAGGTAAGCACAATAAGTGAGCACGTAATAGCTGTGTGACATGTGTCCTAGTTAATGTGCCTTTCATCCAAACGTTTTTGTTCCATTAGACAGAAATTATCCATTAATTTATTATCTTTGTCAAAATAATTAAAAATAATAAACAATGAAAAAGGAAAATGTAAATGAGTCCCAACTCCCAACACGTTTATGATTTCCTTTTTCATTGTTTATTATTTTTAATTATTTTGACAAAGATAATAAAATAATGGATGATTTCTGTCTAACAGACCAAAGACGTTTAGATCAGATGAAAGGCGCATTTACTAGGACACGTGTCACACAACTATTACGTGCTCACTCATTGTGCTTACCTAACGTGCCTACTACATCCGGACCCTCTAACAACATCCACCAATTAGCTCAACTCTTGCAAAACAAAGAGAAAAAAAAAAGCAGAACGAGAAAATGAGAAGCAAAGCAACATAGAAATATTTGTTGCCTCCTATTTATCGGAACAAAATTCACGCAATCGCTTCAATACACAAAGAAAAATGAAAAAGAATTTTTGTTTAAATTCCAAGTAGAAGGTAAGAAGATTGTCGAAATTTTAAAAACTGAATAGAAATAGTTGCACAAAACATGATTTGGAGCTGAATTTTCATAGGAAATGAAGAAACATGTTAGCGGAAGCAAGATAGGAAAACAAACACGAAAGACATCAGTTGATGATGGAGTTATATAGAGCCCATAATGCATGGTGGCCTTTAGATAGCAAAGGAGGCGTTTCACATTAGTCCAGTGAGCAATGGTGGGGTTATACATATGTTGACAAGCCTTGTTGATAGAAAAAGCTGTCTGGTCTAGTCAACGAGAGATACTGAAGAGCTCCCACAATTCGTCGGTACTAAGTGACATCAGAAAATGATTCATTTGCCCTTAGTACACAACATAGAAGTGGAGGAGAACGGTGTTTGAGCTAGTTTGGCATCAAGCATGCCAGCACTTGTGAACAATTCAATAATGTATTTATGTTGTGTAAGAGAAAGACCATTTGGAAGATGAGCTGCTTCTACACCCACAAAATAATGAATGCCACCAAGATCTTTGATAGCAAACTGAGAGCTCAAGGAGGAGATAAGAGATGAGACAAGAGCAATATTAGCCATTGTGATGAGAATATTATCAACGTAAACAAGTATGAAAAGAGAGTTGCCATCAACAAGTTTATAAAACAATGAGTAATCAGCTCGAGAGTAGGCAAATCCACATGTGTGCATGTAAAAAGTCTACAAACATGGTTGGGTTATGCAGCATCTTTAAGGCCTAAAGTTTGCTCCACATAGACAGTTTCAGCTAGATCTCCATGTAAAAATGAATTTTGCACATCAACTTGATGGGTGGGACAACCTTTGGAAACAGTAATAGAAAGTAAGAGTCTAATGGTGGGGGCTTAACAACGGGACTGAATGTCTCATGATAATCTACTCCCTCTTATTGTAAAAACCCCTTGGCTACAAGACGATCTTTGTACCATTGTATGCTGCCATCAGAGCCACGTTTCAAATGGAAAACCCATTTGGATCCAATGACATTATGGTTAGTGGGACAAGGTATAAGAATCTAAGTGTGATTACGTTGCAAAGCTTCAAATTCTTCTTTCAGGGCTAAGCACCAATTCTCGTCTTGAAGGGCTTGTTTGATGGTGGAAGGTTCAGAAATAGGTTCAATAGGTGGGTATTTGGGAGCAATATATAATTTAGGCTTGAAGATACCACTTTTAGCACAAGTGGTCATAGGATGAACATTAGTTGGTGGTGGCTTTGTATGAATGGTTGAAGGGGAAGATGGTTGGTGATGAGAGGTGGACATTTCAGTGAGAGGTGAATGAGTAGGAGATGGGCTTAGATGTGGTGGCGAGGTTATAGGTTTAGTGGCAATAGATGGGATTGATTGGGTTGGGGAAGTTATTGTAAGTGGTTCTATAGAAGTGAGGACACAGGTACAAATAGTGTAATGTGGATGGGTGGTTTTGGCAAAATGATTGATTGAATGGGAAGTGAAGGGGTAATAAGAGTAGTAGAGGGTTCATTACTTTGTGAAGACCTTTCTTTGAAGGGAAAGTGATGTTCATTGAATAGCAACACCCATTGGAAGGATCATAACACTTGTAGCCATGATGATTTATGTTGTAGCCTAAGAAGATGCAAGTTGTGGATCTTAAATCCAATTTATTTTTGTTGTAGAGCCTTAAATAAGGAAATCATTAACACCTAAACACCTTGAGAAAGCTGTAATTTGGTTTTTCTTGAAACAATTTCTCATATGGAGACTTGTAACCAAGAATTCGTGTAGGCATCCGATTGTAAAGCAACGCTAGAGAAAGCATACCACCAGTAAATCATTGGAATAGAAGCTTGAGCAAGAAGAGTCAAACCACATTCCACAATAATACGATGATGTTGTTCAACACAACCATTTGGCTCAGATGTGTGAGGACAAGTAAGACGATGTGTTATTCCATATTGCTCTAAGGTGGGTCAAATCTTGTGAAATTCACTACCACCATTAGTTTGCAATGCTTTTATTTTGGTGCCAAGAATATTCTCAACATTAACTAGCCTTGAAATTTAGGAAAACATTGAGAACAACTAATTTTTGCTTTAAGGGAAAAATCCACAAATATTTGGTGAAGCCATCAACAAAACTTATATAGTATTTATAACCATCATGAGAGGTAATAGGGGCTGGTCCCCAAAGATCAACAAATATTAATTGTAAAGGAGAAGATATAGAAGAAGCACTAGAAACAAAAGGCAGCTTATGACTTTTACCCATGGGACAAGATGGGCAGAACACCATTGACTTATTTGAACTAACTGGTAATCTATTTTCAATAACCACTTGTCGTACTATACTTGGAGCAGAATGCCCTAACTGTTGATGCCATGTATCCGTTGTTGTACGTTCCCCAACAAGAGCAAAGTTCTCCTTGTTAGACAATTTTGTATGCCCTTAGCTTCAATCAGAATGATGTACTTTATGAGTTTATTGTAAATGAATAAAAGTGCATATTTGATTCATGTTCCCTTGGTAT